GCTTGTTGAGAAGCCATTGTATATTTCTGGTGATTTAACATTCCTGTTGCTAATTATCCATTGAAGTGAGGTCAACTTAACAGACAAATGCAGGATCATGGCAATAAACTTCCATGAGATCTTCTCAAAATAAAAATAAGCACAGAGCAAAGCCAGATTAGTGGATGAGAGGGATTGGCAAAGCAACAAATGTTACAGTTCTGTATGCCTGTACTCATAATGTAGTGCTTTTGGTTTTTACTCAGTGCACATTTGTGCAATAGTAAGATGGCATGATAGCATTCCCCCCCTCCCCTTCACTGGCTTCATTGAGATAAACATTTCCAGATGTAATTTTTATTCTATTAAATTTTCAGGAATTGTACTCTTTCACCATGCCCTAAAGGATTAAATTGTCCCAATGTATTGGCAATTAGGAGAAAAACACATACTAGAAAATAAGTTTGGCTTTCATGGTTTATGAGATTATTTCCATGTCAGTTTCTGCTGACAGTCCTGATGGCACATACCAGAAATAAGATCTTTATTTTAAATGCTTCCTATTTTGAATGCTTCCTATTTTTCAAAATAATCAACTGGAGGTAGAAATCTGTCTGCATTACATAGTATAAAAAGGTAAAGGTTCCCTTGCTTGAAAGCCGGTCGAATCCGACTCTAGGGTTGCGGTGCTCATCTCCGTTTCAAAGCCGAAGAGCCCTATTTTTCAAAATAATCAACTGGAGGTAGAAATCTGTCTGCATTACATAGTATAGAGATTGATAAATTTCCATGGACTATAGCATCTACTCTTTTTAGATTCACAAGACTTTATTTTCATTGCATATAAAGTTGGGACCCATTATTGCATCTCTTAAGACTTTAAACTTTGCTTATTGATAAGCCAATAGTTGTTCTTTTCAATAATCAGACAATTTTAAAATAAAAAGAATGAACAATGCAGTTCTAAGCAGAGTTGCTGGAGGCAGGGAAACTTCACATAAGTTTGCACTGTAGGGCACCTACAATTTCATTCATGCTCCACAGGTGTGGAAATTGTAAGGTTTCCACTTTAATTTCCATGCTATGTGATGTTGGACAGTTGACTGCTTTATTACTGGCTTACAATTTAAGTACCATGTGGGAACAGATCTTTTTCAAATTGGTTCCAGATCCTTCCACTGGGCATTCCAAATGTTCAACAAGAATTTTGACGTGTATTGAAATTAAGCCTTTATATAGTCCTGATCCCATGTTGGCTTCTGCATCTCTCAGTCTGCAGCAGAAGAAAATCAGGTCTAAAAGAGTAAAAGAAATTATTGCTTCATGGATGTTTAAGCTTTATAAAAGAGCATTCAATGTCATTGTCCAATGACTAGTACTCCTGCGGTAGAAGATTTAAGGCTGCAACCTTCATTTGCAGAATCCCTTCTGGAATGAGAATTTTAAGTGCCTTCTTCAATTGAAGCTTTTTTTTGCTTCAGAATTTTTGGCTTCAGAATTACTTCAGAATGTTCTCTGCCTGCTGCTCCTTCTTCCTTCCTTCAAAAATCTTAACATCATCACTTCACTGTTTGTTTATATTTTAGACTTATAAATCGCCCAGTCCCTGCGTACATAGGGTTCTGGGCGATGCACAACAAACGTTAAAATCAAGTACCACAAGTTAAAATTCACAGATTCAATAAATACATTCAATAAATTCTTAAAATAGTCTCAAAATGGTGTAATTAATCTAATCCTTAAAAATCCATTCTGGACCGTGTTGCCGCCCCGCAGGCAGGGCACGAGGAGGGAAAGATGGAAGGACGGGAGGGTGCCAGCTATGATGGAAAAACCATCACTGCCCTCGACCAAAAGCCTGGCAGAACATCTCTGCCTTACAGGCCCTGTGGAATTGCATCAAGTCCTGCAGGGCCCTGGTGGTGTTTGGCAGAGAGGTCCACCAGGTCGGGGCCAGGACTGAGAAGGCCCTGGCGGAGGACAGCCGGATATGTTTGGGGCCAGGGATTACCAGTGGGTTGTTCTCAGCGGAGCATAACACTCTCCTGGGGACATACCAGAGGAGGCAGTCTTGAAGATATGTGGGTCCCAGACCGCTCAAGGCCTTGAAGGTCAGAACCAAAACCTTGAACCTGACTCGGCACTCCACTGGGAGCCAGTGTAGCTGGGCTCAGCATTGGCTGTATATGTGCCGTCTGTGGCAGCTTGCTAGGTATACATTTGTTCCAGAATATTATATACTAGTCTCCAGTGCCTGCAGATATGTATGTGCTGAATTACCTCCTAAGGCATTGCATTAAGCAAAAACCTTAAATCTTCGATGTGGTCTCTGTGCTTCACACCCATGGGATTCAGTGTGCACGTGCTGGATCGATCGGTGCTGTAGCAAGCTCTTTTAACGGATTTTCGCGCCCAGTCCCTCGAGCATGCGCAGGAACCCCACCGCGCATGCCCAGAGGGGTGGGCGCGAACATCCCGCCAATTCCTTTCTTACCGCCGCGTTGGAAAGACCTCTTTCCTCGTCGGTCTGATTGGTTCGCTGTTCGCTTTTGCCTCACAGCTCTTAGGAAGTATTTCCATACTTTATTTTTCTGTTTTAGTCTTTTGTTCTTCAAAAACTTTAAAAAACAACAACTTAATTTTCTTCTGAGGGGAATTTACCTCAGGCCTTCGGGCTACCCCCCCCCCCAACCGTTCCCTCCACTTCAGTTCTTTATGGAGAAGAAGTGGGGATTTTTCAATAGATGCAAGCATTGTGGTAGCAAACTTGCTCCTCCCGACCGCCATACCCTCTGCATTTTTTGCCTTGGAGAGTCTCACAAGCCAGAGTCCTGTCGTCACTGTGCTCGCTTCTCCAACCAAACGATGAAGAACCGCGCTGCGCGCCTTAAAGTGGCGCTGCTTGAATCGGCCCTTGCTCCTGCTTCAGCGATGGAGGAGAGACCATCTACATCAACGGCTCCGGCATAGAGACCTGCCTCCGATGCTGATCGTCCGACACCGAAGCTCCCGACATCGAAGGCACAATCACCCGCCTCCACGCCAGTCAAAAAGAAGGCTAAGGCAAGTACGGAGCTTAAGTCCGCAAAGAAGGGCACCTCCAAGTTCCTTAAAGTAGCGAAGAAGGCGAAGGAAGCAGTGCCTGCACTGGGTGATGTCCCTATAGTGCCTCTCGCTCCAACGGCAGTATCGATATCGGAGGCCCAAGTCCCTCTACCGATACCAACCATCCATGTATTGGACTTCCCTGTCCACCAAATGGAGCCTCCTTACTCCAACATCGAAACGGTAGAGCTCCTAAGTCATCAGATGGATGCAGAGCATTCTCCGTCGTCGACATCGACGGTATCGGACGCTCCCGACATCGATCCACATCGGCACCGATATACCTCATGTGACACACAGCGTCACCCTCCTCGTCTGCACACTCAATCTGTCGATATCGACGACCGACATTACAGGGACAATGCCCGCAGACAAGCTACTGCTTTGTCTCCCAGACATCCACGGTCCAGAAGTCGATCCCCCAGAGTCTTCCTGCCCCCCCCACCACCAATGTCGTGGGATCAACGACAGTTGAGATACCTCTACGGGGCTTATCCACCATCTATGCCGAGGTTAACTCCAGCGGGCTACTCTGATTAGGATCACTATTTGACCCACTCCGTTCATAGGTCGAGATCACCCCACAAGTCGAGACCTTCAGCATCTCTGTCGCGTCCTCCTGTAGTCAATCCCTCCCACTATACTCTGGAACCAAGTTGTCCTCTCAATCCTCCGGTCACTCCAAACCCTGTCGTTCCTGTCGTCCAAACGAAACCAGTACCTTCTCAACAGGACACTCAGTCCACACACCACAACAAGACTCCTCTGACTTCATGGAAGAGGACTCAGATACAGAGGCTTCTGAGACTCATACCTCTCTTGACCATACATCTCCCAACCAGGATGTCATGGAGGACATACCTGTCTCTCCATCTGACAACCTTACCTCTTACACTGATCTGGTCAAAACAATGGCCCACTCTTTAGGTCTATCTGTCGTCCAGCAACATCTGCAAGCAACAGATGCTGTTGATGATATAGTTCAGCTTGATACCTCGTCCACCTTGGCATTGCCCATGTCCTCAGTCCTTCTGCAGGCAGCAAAGTCACCATGGCTAAAACCAGTCTGCTCCTGTGTCCACAAGACGATTGGACCACATGTACAGAGTCCAAGAGTCAGATGCCAAATTTCTCTTCTCGCACCCTCAGCCGAACTCTATGGTGATAACATCTTCCTCAAAATCCAAGAGAATGCATTCAGCACCTTCTGACAAGGAAGGTAAGAAGTT